GAAAAAAAAATTGTAGTCATTGCTCAAAATGCTTGTAGCAAATTTAGTTTCAAATTGAAGCAATTTATTCCAAAAGCAATCTACTACTGCAGCAATAATCAATGTGTTTTCCCTTAGCCCATACTGGAGCTTTTCAAGGACCATTGTTAGTTGCCTTTAACTAAATAACTACTGGTGCCCTTAAAAGTAACTCTTGCACTTTTTCATTTGTTGTGTTTAACCAAATGTCAGTTTCCCTTAGGTTTGCCTAGCACTCTTGCTTGACAATTTTCAACTTTTAGATTCAGTCCTTTAAAGTGGACAAAGTCTATCATTTTAACAAAATAACACAGACTAAACAGATTTTTAAAGGTCTGTACTTTCCCTTTCCATTCTATGATGTTGAATTGTACTGAAATGGAATCTTTTCTTATTTTTTAAATGCCGCCACTACAAGCATCTTGAACTTGAGCCGAAAAGCAGGTCCCAATTCAAAGGATAAAATTACATTTGCCTGGGCAACACCATTTACATTATAATGCAAAGATATTCTTTGGAATTAGTAGTTTGAGTTTCTTCAGATATATTCCCAGAAGTGGAATTGCTGGGTCATAAGGCAGTTCATTTTAATGTAAAGATAAAACATAAAAGTAGACCCAAGTCTTTTCTTTTAACTGTAGCAGAATTTAACCCTTAGTAATTTTGTCATCATTCAATGTATATAAGCAATAATGGGTAGCACTCATATTAATGAATGTGTCCAGCTTAGAGCAAAAGAAATGTAGCAATTAAATTTAATAACTGTTTTCTTTAGGAGTTTTTATTTATGCTTTATAAACCAATGTGAATAACTTAAATCAAATGAAAAAAAAATTTAACCTGCACATATTTATAATGTGAAAGCATTTAAATTACTCTTGCATAAAAATAATGTAACTGAGAAGCAGGCACTGGTATGTGTACTATTCGAGAGAAAAAAAAACACCCAAGAACATTTCTGACTTTCAAGGATGTTATAAGAACACCATGCTTCTGCATGTAATTTTATGGAAGTATCTGGGAACAGTCTGAGATAATCTCAGGATTTCAGTATCAATTAGTAACTCATAAAAGCTATTTCTTTGGACATGGTTTTGCTATCATTATTAGTAAAGGACTATCATATGGCTCAGAAAACTTATTCTTGCTTATTGCCTATACTTTAGGTATATATAAGTTTTCATATGTTTGTACCGTAAAGGAGGTATTCATGACACAAGACCACTTTGTAATTGCTTAGCTACATCGACCCTGCTCTCTTTTTCTCATTACATTTCAGACAATGCTATTGATTGGCCGAGTAAAATAGTGTATAAAACTTTCCGAGTGGCTCATGACATCTAGAAATGGGAATCATTCATATTTAGGCAAATACTTCTCTAAAATTTTTAAAAAACTTATTTTTATATAATTTTCTCTGATTTATATATACTCAATTTTTACAAGCTGGAAAAAAACTATATATATAGAGACCAATATTATAAATTCCATCTGAAGAAAATGAGAACTCTGCTTATTGAATTAATACCATTATGTTCTAGGCATTTTTTTTTCATGTATCTAAGGGTATTCGACTAGATAAGGGTGCATAGGACATGTTGGATGCCCAAGCCCAGTGCCAGCATCCGGAATCAAAGGGTGGGCTTGGGGGCAATACAAAGAACCATTCCCCTCTGGGAAGTTATCTACAGCATAATAGCTGTCCTGACTTACATTTCTCATTACAGCTTCTCCCCACATAGAATGTGTGTTAGACCTTACTAGTACAATGGCTCTTTAAAATATTTTTCAAATAATTGAAGTACGATTAACATAATAAAAAGAATAAACCTTCAGTGTTCAGCTCAATAAGTTTTGACAAATGTATATACGTGTGTATCCACACCCAGAAAAAATACAGAATATTTAATACACCCCAGAAGTTTTATCTTCTCCCTTTCCAATAAATATTATCATAACCCATCCATAAAACAATCATTTGGTGATTTCTATAACTATGCTTAATTTTTGCCCTGTTCTTAGGCTTCATTTAAATAGAACTGTATAAAAAAAGTATTATTTTATGTCTGGTTTCCTTCACCTAACATCATCTGTGAGATTCATGCATGTTGCATGTATCTGTAGTTTATTCCTTGTGCTGCTGTGTATATTCTAGCATATGGATAGATGTTCATTATCTCCTGTTAAAGAGCATTTGGGTTGTTTCCAGTTGTGGCTACTTTGAACAAGACTACTGTGAACATTCTTATACAAATCTTCTTGTGGACATCTGCTTATATTTCCTTTGGGTAAATACTTAGGATTGTAATTGCTGCTGATAGGGTGCATTCATATTTAACTTCATTAGAAGCTACTTCAGATTTTCTAATATAGTAGCGCCATTGAGCACTTCCACTAGCAATGTTTGGGAGTGGAAGTTAAGCATTCTCCATTCGTTTTCCATTTCTTTTCTCCCAAAAGAAATTTTAGAGTGATACATTTCAACTGTTTAATGTATTAACTTAGAAAAGAGAATGACTCTTAAAAGAAACCGTGATCTCCCATCATAATCATTGTAATTTAAAGCAGATTTTTCTGATGCACAAATTAGCCTATGGGCATGTTGGAGCATTATGCAAGTTTCTTTGTGTGGTGGAGTTTAACACACATAGAACAAGTCTTGAGAGAACAAGACTCATTGGACCCCACGGTATTATCTACTCACTTATCCTTTCTTTTCACATACCTTTGGGAAAACATTATGCTGAATAGCATTTTATATTTCATTTCTGGTATTTTTGTGGTACTATTTTGTGTTGACTCTCACAAGAGTCAACAGATAACACTGTCTGATATTTATAAATCCACAATGCTAAACTTCCTGGAGGTACTTTTCGGTATTTCACACTTCATATTAATTTATTTAGACCCTAAAAGATTTAATAGCTCACTTTATTTTTCTTTCTTAAATTCATAAAGCCCAACCACTTTTTCTAATATTTTCTTCTAGACCTTTTTCATTTTAATAAGAGCAGGAAATCACACTTGATTAAACAATAGTTGTATGTGTTTGTTTATTAAACTGTTGAATTAGAAATGAAGGACTAAAAAATGAGAAGTATGGCTGAGTTTTTTCTGCAATGCAAACACACACAGACACACACACACACTCACACAGTCTTTGTGAGAAAATGATGGCCACGCTTTTCAGATTACTTATCACTGATATTGCACTACACCCATGATGATTTCAACCCATTACAAAATCTCACGAATGATCTTGTAATCCAAGAGTAGTCATCACTACAAAACCATACATTAAAGTTCCCAATCTAAGCCTATTACAAAATTAGATAACCCACTAGTGGCACCTAAATTACAAAATCAAAAATACCATTATGATAGAGCCATAAATTCAGGAATATTTATCTTTAGTCATAATTAAGGAAAATAGTACTTTTCAAAGTAGTTGCCAACTGCAGTGTACATGGCTACCCATCAGTATAGACAACATATGGACTACAATGATCAAGTACAACATGAATACAAAGGCAGTAATTTAAAATGAGTTTCAAAGTCTGTGGAGTCTGGCTTAATGTGTAAATGCAAGTAGACTTGAATTTGTTACAATGTCTATGAATTCTAAAGAAGAAAAAAGTTCTAGCCAGTTTGGTTCAGTGGATAGAGCATTGGCCTGCAAAGTAAAGGGCCCCAGGTTTGATTCTGGTCAAGGGCACATGCCTGAGTTGTGGGCTCCAACCTCAGTAGGGAGCATGCAGGAGGCAGCTGATCAATTATTCTCTCTCATTGATGTTTCTATCTCTCTCTCTCCCTTCCTCTCTGAAATCCATAAAAATAAATTTTAAAATAATAAAATAAAGGAGAAAAAAGAAGTGAATATTTTATCATGAAAAAATTGTCTGATAATTTTGTCATGTAGACATTTAATAGGAATAAGAGAACTTGAGTACAGTGAATAGCAAGAAAATATTTTTGTCTTGAGAGAATGTAGTAACATGTCTAATGAAAGGGGAACATTTTAAGTAGCTTAGTGAAAGGAAAACACTCCAAACACAGTTGTGTAACATCTACTAGGTAAACTATTTCTTTAACCCTAGAAGCATGCAGCCTCTTAAGACTATGGTAGGTCACACTGGCACTATTTTATTCAGAAATATGTAGGACAGGAGTCATTGCTCCTGGCAAGAGCCAGCAGGCAATATTGGTTAGGTTCACACTGCCCCTCGGAAACTGTGTTTCTTCACTTATCACCTCTTAGTCCCAGCCCTCAAGTGACAGCTCAGATGAGAAGGATAAAGATAAAGATTCACATTAGGGCCAGCCTGCATGACTTAGTGGTTGACTGTCGACCTATGAACCAGAAGGTCATGGTTGATTCCAGGTCAGGCCATATGCCCTGGTTGCAGGCTCAATTCCCAGTGTGGAGAATGTAGGAGGCAGCCGATCAATGATTCTCTCTCATTATTGATGCTTCTCTCTCTCTCTCTCTCTCTCTCTCTCTCTCTCTCTCTCTCTCTCTCTCTCTCTCTCTCTAAATATATATATTCACATGGGTTGAGTTCAGAAGCCATCCTGGCTTAAGCTTCATATCAACAGAAACCAACTCTATAAGCATAGCTTGTAGAATTCTTACAAGGGTTTTGTTTGTATGTAAGAGTTATTTCACCCAAGCAAGCCTAAAATTATTTTTTTTCCAAGCAGGTATTTCTAATTCTGTCAGTCCAAATGCAATCTAGGAACATAGGTTCATTTTTACCACAAGCAATGTTGCATAGCAACAGTTACCATATATCCCCTCATCTGGTTACCAAGGAAACCAAGCTAGAAAGTTATTGAAAGGCCAAATTTCCATGCAAAAAGGAAAGGGGTTGTATTAATGCATTGCCCACATCTGGTCTCAGCCACAAAACTGTGAAGTCAAGTTGAATGTGTGATTTTGGGTGTGAATATGGTATAAATCTCTCTTGTGGTGTTTTCCCCAGAGCTGATGTACACAGTTGAACTTGCTGGAGGGCTTGGTGCTATCCTGCTGCTGCTTATTTGTTTGGTGACCGTCTACAAGTGCTACAAAATAGAGATCATGCTCTTCTACAGGAATCACTTTGGAGCTGAGGAGCTGGATGGAGGTAAGATGAGTTCCCACTTTTAACGTCTTTCTGAATTTTCTTATTCATTTTCTGTCTTTGTTTTATTGAGGAAGGGAAGAAAAATTAACTTCATTAGCCATTGATAAGAGCTCTAGAATATTTCAGTGTTCAGTTTGTAACTTAATTTATTACATGGAACTATATGTGTGATTCTTTGGAGCCAACAGCTATTTTCCTCTGAAAATTGTAAAGCAGCCGGTTTGGCTCAGTGAATAGAGCGTTGGCCTGGGGACTCAAGGGTCCCAGGTTTGATTTTGATTAAGGGCATGTACCTTGGTTGCGGGCACATCCCCAGTAAGGTCTGTGCAGGAGGCAGCTGATCGATGTTTCTGGCTCTCTATCCCTCTCCTTTCATCTCTGTAACAAGTCAATAAAATATATGAAAATTGTAAAGCAACACCTACCCTCTTTTGAATTGTATTCCAAACAACACTTGTGAATTACAAGTGCTGATTACAATGCTCTCAGAGTATTCATTTTCTCTCACATTGTAATCATTACTGAAAGGCCAGCTTCACTTTTCTATATAGATAAGGTGTGTTTCTTTTAATTGTGTTCTCTAGCCTGGTAGTTTGAAGTGAATCTCAATTTGTTCCTTGTTTAAACTGATCAGTTATAATAAACTGTACTGAGCATTTTAGAATTCACCCAGCAATCTTTTCAAGCCTGTTTATTTAGCTATAATTAGGCAAACTAATTTTTATTCTAAGTGTGGACCAACAGATAGGAAAGTGCACAAGCATATTGTTTTCATAATTATACATTTATTAGTTTTACTCAAATTGGACAAGTAAATATTATTTTCATAGAAATGATAATTGTTTTTGCCTCTGGTCAGTCATAATTATGCATATAATCTAAGAGGAATTTAGATTGCTAAAAACTGAGCTCTTTAAACCACCTATTAGAGGACTTAAGTTTTTGGGGGTTTTTTTCCTTGTTGGTCCTTTGAAAATGGTTTGTATATGAGATAAATTTACAATACAGGAAACATATGCAACTTGACACTAAATAGGTGATGGTTTCTCGATCATATTTATAAACTTTTTTTTCATTAACTGTCAGTTTTACACTAAATAGTACAAAGAAAAAAATGCCATGATACCACATTTCCAGGTCTTCTGGAATAAATCCCCAGGTAGAAGTATAGGTTGCCAGACTTGTGAGGGGGAACAGCTCATTTAGCATCCCTAACACTCCTTTATATATTTTTAAAATATATTTTTATTGATTTCAGAAAAGAAGGGAGAGGGGAGATAGAAGCATCAGTGATGAGAGAGAATCATTGATCGGCCGCCTCTTGCACGCCCCATACTGGGGATGGAGCCCACAACCTGGGCATGTGCCCTGACTAGGAATCAAACTGTGACCTCCTGGTTCATAGGTTGATACTCAACCATTGAGCCACACCAGCTGGGTTTTAACACTCCTCTCTATTTAACCTCCCTTTTCCATTAGGGTAAAGTCTGTGCTGTATTTCTTTTCTTTTAAGTGCTAATTTGCCTATTTCTTCTTCGTTCCTAATTTTCTTGCCTGTTTATACAAATTATTCATATTTTTGCTACTGATTTAAAGAGATATGAGAAAAGTGTCAATGTCAGAGCTGTTGTTGAATGGGTACTAAGCAATGTGCTAGGCATTCTGAAAATCATTCTTGCTAAACCTATAATAAAAAAATTCTGAGGCTAGTTATCATCTCTATTTTATGGATATAGCAACTGAGGCTCCCAGAGGTTAAATAACTTACTGAAGAAAATATCATAAGTATTATGGGTCATGGCCAATATGGGATTGGAAAGTAGGTCAATTTCCAAAGCCTTTATTTTACTGAACACAGAATCCCTGTTGTTTTTAACCCTTTAAAAATTTGGTATGTTCAGTATAATCTAAAGATCCACTATTATTTGCATGATTAGCACAATAGAATATACTTGGAAAAGCAGTTTATTAAGCAAGTCTCACTTTATTAACCCTATTTTTAATATATTTATTTTTTGTTCTAACGACATGAATGATGTTACCCAAACTATCAATTTCTAGAATTTTTTAAATTTAAATTCTTTATTGCTGAAAATATTACATGTCTCCTTTTCCCCTCTAGTATGGTATGGTTTTTATTTGTCATGTTCTAAATGGTAGGAGATTCTAATGATTTTGGATGCCTATGAACCTTAGTCACATCCCCTTGGATCCTTCAACACATGCTGTTGTGGTAAAATGATTATCTCCTCCATCAGTGGTGGAGAATTTCTCTGACATCATTAAATTCCCATTTTCCTAGCTGTCCTTCAAATCCTTCCACCTTCCAAAGAAATAACTGTTAAGAAGAGACACCAGGCTTTTCATATTCTTGAGTTGGTTTCAAAAAAAAAAAAAAAAAAAAAGCAATTTGAAAGTCAAAACGGAGCAATGTCTCTTTTATCTTGACCATCTTTTCACCTCCTCTGAAAGGGGAATACATAAAATACCTTGGAAACAAAGGAAGACCAAGAGTGTGAAGAAGAACAGGAAAAGAAAGTTTAGCTAATATTTTGAAGTAATGCCTTACTATGGTGACATGATATTAACAAATTCATTGACCATTTATTGAATATTTACCAAATAACAAATACAGTGTTGATTAGTTTATTGAGACTCAGAGAATCACACAACCAGAAAGACAGAATTTAAACCCAGGTCTAAACAACTCCAAATCCTAACTATTTCAGCTACTGTGTCAGACTAGGAGAGGGAATGTTTAGCATCAGAGACACATTCAACCAGTTCCTTGTAGGTTATTACAATAGGCATTACCTGGCTCTGTCAGTTCTATATCAGGATTCCAAGACAGAACATATAGCTGCTTTGCTCCCTCAGTTTGTTCCCATTATTCCCTGTCCCCCTCTAACCTTCCACTTTGTTGTTGCTCCTGAACTCAGGCCTTAGCATTTCTCTTCTGATTCTGAAACACCCACCTTTCTGGATTTTATTTATAACTCTATCTTCAATTGCCTTTATGCACAAAAAACTCCTTAACCCTAGTTTCCTTGTTTTAGTATCTTTTTTTGTTACTAGGAGGACCAGGAAGCATAAGGTAGTGCTGGCACTTTTAGGGAGAAAACCAATGAGGCCACAGAACCTGTGAAATCACACATGAAGCCATAGTGCAGAGTTTTATTTATTTAATTTTTTGGCATTATGCTCCATACTTAATCCGGTCTTTTTTTCTTCCTTTCCTTCTATCCACTGAACTGTTCAAATAACATTATTATTAGAGAAATGTAAGAATATATACTGTAAGAAGTTGGGAAACATAGACAAGCCAAACAAAATCCAGCATATTCCCACCATTCATGGGTCACCATTGTTACCACTTTAGCACACGTCCTTGTGGCATCTTCCAGGTGGGAGGAAGACATTTGTCACATGGGAGACTTATCTCCTCTTTTGGGGGTGGGGGTGGGAACAGAGATGTCAGAGAGTTCTTGCAATTTATTAAGTAACTTTAATTCAAAATAATCAACATGCCATTGTGGGATATCTTGGGGAAGCCTGCCGTAGGTCCCAACAAAATAATCAAGCCTGGAACAATATCCCACTAGATACTCTGTAGGGATTGGATGTGTCTGTAAATTATGTTAACTAATCATATCTTTGAATAGCACTGATTTCAGGATGGAGGGTCTGTTTCCTATAATTAGTAAACAGCTGCTAATTTTAGCAATGAAACTTGATTTCTGACATCCATTGTGTTAATTAATGAACTATCTACTTTTGATAAAAAATAAAAATAGTTGATGTGCTTACAGGGCTGCCTCTAGAGAAAGTGTGTCAAACTCAAAGGCTAACAAGGGCCAAATAAACAAGGTTTAGGTTTATGTGGGCCACACAAAAACAGAGGTTCCCTTCCACTTTAGTTTAAGAGTTTGTATAGATATAATCCTTCCTTCCTCTCCATTTCTCCTCCCTTGCTCTCTCATACAGGTTCTATTTTATTCCTAACTTATAAAGATGTTCCTTATAATTCCAAGATCTAGTTATTTTCTCCTTCATTGCTAAAAAATGGCACTAGAGACACATTATGATGGTCCTTTTTCAGTTTAAGAAATGATCACTTACTAGTAAATGCTTACTACTTGTAGAGCATTGTGAATCCCAGATTCCTTATCTCTCTTCTGTGAAAGGAAGGCTGAAAGACAAAGTCATGAAGAAAAGAATTATTACTTCCAAAATTTTGCAAAGATGTCTAGATTTCAGAACCAGCTCTACAAGTAAAAAATATATAATAGCTATTTAAAGAAAAATAAGATTCTAAACTTATAGGTAGTCTAATAATAGAAGAAAATAGCAAGTAGCAACTCTTACATGATGATTATGTTGGCAAATATCAGTAAGGTGCTACATAAGTTTTTAATTAGGAAGTAACTTATAAGAATAGGTTTAAGGCTTAATTTTTGGGGGGAAGGATCTAATTCTAGACAAGTGACACTATTTTATGTTTGCTTTTCTCAGAGGGCAAACAGTTCTGTTTTTATTTATATACCTTTGACTATGAAGGTTAAGGGGCATGCTAACTCATAATGATGATAGAACAAGCTTAAAAGAAGCTACTTTTGGCAGGCTTGTTACAAACTTATAAATTGCTAATACAATTTCTATTTTCAAAAAGAAGAGAAACCTGTAGTTCTACTTTGGGAGTTATTACAGGTTTAGAAAAAAATGAGTTAGAGCAATCTAACTAATTTACATATTTACATATTTATATACTTATAAAAATACTAGAGGCCTGGTGCACGAAATTTGTGCATGGGGGTGTGTGTCCCTCAGCCCAGCCTGCACCCTCTCCAATCTGGGACCCCTTGAGGGATGCTCTGTGGGATCAGGCCTAAACAGGCAGTCGGACATCCCTCTCACAATCCAGAACTGCTGGATCCCAACTTCTCACTTGCCTGCCTGCCTGATTGCCCCTAACCACTTCTATCTGCCAGCCTGATCACTCC